TGCTTTCCATCCAGCATGTTTGGCCAGCAAAAGAGATCATTTCAACCGCAAACAGCAAGTGATGAGGGATTATTAGTTCCTCCTTCCATCCCTTTTTTCTGTTTAATCTGATTACTAACAACTTCTAATAATTTGACATAGTTTATGATTTAATTGGAAAATGAAGTGTTTTTAAATAATAAACCCGTTTCTGATTCTGATTCTTTGATTTCTTTTTGACATATGGATGTTGAGAGATGTATCCATATCTCTTAATGTTACTCTCAAAGTGCACAAGATTGATGCTTTTAACTTCAATATTTAAAAAAAATCTTCCTGGGGGAGCATGGCCCGGCCCCCCCAGAGGAGGTGAGTTCCCCTCAAAATAGCACTTTATCTCTGCTTATGTAACTCCGGTGTAGTGTCCCCTCGTCAACAGATCACTCAGAGCTGATTACTTTCCTGCATTTCAATGGACAGCATATAAAAAGGACACGTGAGCTGCATTGCTTAAGAGATCCTCTCATGCTATCTCTTTTACAAAATAAGTGTCCAGTCAACAACAAAACATCAGTGATCGTATAGTGGTAGTATATTTTTCACAAGCAATGTGAAACATTAAACTTGTACAAACTGGTGTACACAACTCACATACCTGCGTTGGTCTCCTGGAGTGTCTCTACTCTTTCTTCTCCACATCTCTTGTCCACCATCAGAGATTGCAAACATTTCAGAAACAGCTAGAGGTAGGGGACAAACAACTTGTTCGCTGGGCATGTCAAAAACCTCCCTGCTTTGATCAAGACTTTAGGGAGCCTTTCAGCCCCTCAAGCAAAGGGACTGGAAAGCAAGCTTTGAAAATTCAGTACCATCTACATGCTGTCATGTTCCAGACACTGCTCTCAACCACTCAGGGCCTGCACAAATACCTGCAGAAAGAAACAATTGACTTGGTGCAGGCAGTAGATTACAAAACAGCAGTTGAGAACACACTGAAAAGTTACCGAAGTAACGAGAAAGCACATGAGGTCTATGACAAGACCAAGGCCCTGTGCAATGATCTTGATATTCCCGAAACTGTGACACAGAGGAAGAAGCGTAGAAACATGGAAGACTTTGTAGTCAAGGCATCATGTGGAGCAACATTAAACATAAATAAACTGGTGTACAAAACTCACATACCTGCATTTCAATGGACAGCATAAAAGGACTCGTGAGCTGGGTTCTGGTGCTCAGATTAGCTATTGATGATCACGTTGATAAATCATATAAAACAAATAGTCAATCACACTAAAAACATGTTGCTGTGACTGTGAGCATTAAACAATTAACATTAAACTAAACAAACACAACAGTACGTTATTGTCCTTATAAAATCAAAACATACATTTTGTCCACCGAGATAATACAGGCACCTTACCTTCAAGAGATCCTCACGTGCTATGAGAATCTCCCACAATCCATTGCCGTAACAAAGCTAATGCAGGCACACGTTTGTGACACCAGATGGCGCAATTGTGTATGTGCGTGTGGGGAGTCTTGCAGTAGAAAATGTGACTGTAGCGCCGCCACTGTGGGCTAAGCCCCGAATGTTTCCAGGTCCAGGCGACGCCCCTGGTCTATCCACTGTCCTGCACAATCACAGTTGAGTTATTTCAAATGTATCATTTTTCAACTGTCCAACTGTCCATCAAATGTCCCAACTGCCATTTCACCTCTGGCTGCTGTGGAGGATGGATGTCAGCGGAGGAGAGTCTAACTCTAGGTAAGTTACAGAAACAAAACGTTTTTAACAAAGTGAGCAGATATATTGTCATAATGTGAGCAAGCTAGGGGGCTAAATAAATATTTTTAAACTTAAATAAATATGTTTTGCCAATGTTGAACAGCTAACTATTGTTTGAGTTTAGCTGCCTGGATGACAATTATTTTCCTTTAGGCCGTTCTTCTTTTTTATTATATTTATTTTATCTTAACTTAATGTAGCTTACACTATTTTCTGTGACCATCATTCTTCAATCGGCATTGTATTGATAGCATTAGCAGCTATATGTTTAATGCTATCTAGCTACTTTGGCTAGGTTTCATTGTTCGGCCAGATGTGGCGAGAAAGTGCGAGTGCGTTGACAGTCTCTTACAGTGCAAATAACTTCATTTCATCGCCCAACCATTTCTGTTTCGAGCCTGAAATTGTTCTTGTCAATTGTTTACATTTAAGTTATTCGTATTCATATTCTGTGAACAATGTATTTTATTTTGTTAATAAAGTCCCTATCTTTCAAATTGAAACTGCTCTGCTTGCTAACTTGTTGATACCATGCTTACTATAGGGATGACTACATCATTATTAAAGCTAATTAACTATAGATTCACTATAAGATCACCATAGCCAACTCTATAGTATTACTATAGTCATTTTCTATAGTGTGTTCCAAAAAACCATAGAAATAATATATAAAGCACTATAGTGATACTACATAAAACTCAATAGTATAACTATAGTAATTTCCTATAATGGCCGAAAAACCATAGAAATACTACAGGAAACACTATAGTATAACTGTAACTTCACTATAAGATCACCATAGCCAACTCTATAGTATTACTAAAGTAATTCTCTATAGTGTGTCCCAAAACACCATAGAAATACTATAGCAGTTTTTTGTGGTATTTCTATAGTAATTCTTAATAGTAATACTATAGTGTTTTTTCGTACTGAGTGATATATATTATACACACTGCTCTGCTTTCTGCACGGACCTCACAGCTGTTCTCACTGCAAACATCGCGTTGCGATGAAAGCAGTTAATAAAATAATATCCAGGGGATGCATGCAGAGCTGTCATTGGCTGAGATAAGTCCGGCTGTGCGTCACGCCTCTTTGAAACATCTCTGTTCCCGGAAATACATCCGCGGAGGAGCCGTGGAGGACCCATCAGTGTATCCTCGATTATAGCTCCTCCAGAGAGCCTCCTCGATGCTCGGTCCTCAATGTGCATTTAGAGAAATGTCCTTCAACATGGCTGAAATCCATTTCCGGGTCACTACCGGAGGATTCGAGGAGTCGAGGAGGGGAAATTAGAGAATTGAGAAGCCTTTATGGACCGATGCGGTGCTTCCCTGAGCGTCAAAAACCGCCTATGGGAATACATTGCACTCAGTTGAAAGCTATTTGCGTCCGTTTATGAAGCTGAAAGAGACTTGGTGCGTCACAACTGCACGCCAAAGGACCCTGACCAAGCGTTGCTATTGGATCAGGGAGTGAGACTGTGTTGGTTATGTTATTAGATTTATCTGAGCGGGGAGGAGGCCTCCAGATAGAGAAAGGCAGCGGTTTGGGGAAATGTGTCCTTGTTGATAGTTTGATAAAGAGAGGAACACCAGCAGAGCTTAATCAGATCGTCCACCGGCCGAGCGTTCCCAGGTAACAGACTGATTCTGTGTCAAGCAGCTGAGGGCTCCGCTGGGATGGCAGCAATAACATCTCCTATCCTGAGGTGCTGTGTGTGTGTGTGCGCGCTTATTTGAAGTACCAAGACAGACTTCTATTCTCCCAGTAGGCCACAGCCTTGTTTGTGAACTCCCTCTGAGCATCTCCTCCACAGAGTAACCTTGAATCTAGCCTGCACACACACACACACACACACACACACACACACACACACACACACATACACACACACACGCAAAATGAGATGAGTATTATTCATTCCAGTGGTTTCCTTCTTTGGTCTAATTGTGCAGTTTAGCACAGAGCTAGTTCAGCAGGAACCTGCACAGTACCCTTGGGGAAAATCTAAATGTGTCAAACAAATGGTTGAAGAGGCATCTGTGACTGCCGCTCTGCCAAGGTGACAATCAATTCACAGAGAAAAAGGAAGGGGGTTGAAGGGTGTGGGGGGTAAAGCACCTGGGGAGTGCCACAAGGCTGAGAACATGCCCTTATTTCTACTGGCAGCTGTTCCTCCTAACAGGCCTCATTACATTATTCAACAGGACTGCACATTGTATTATTCGCAGATCTTCTAGTGAGCACAAACGTGTTGGTTCTGAGTGACTTTGCCCACATCATATTAGAGGAAGTCTACATTAACATTTACAAGTTAAGTACAGGGGGAGTCATCGACAGTAATCCAGGAAACCTTTTTTTTCCAAATATTTCATACGGTCCACTAGCTCTCTGTTCTGTGGGCCCTGCAAAGAAGCCAGTGCTCACACACAGTTCTGTCTCTGTAAATGGGGAAAGATGTCTCAGATCGATCCACACAAACCTCTCCCAGCTAGGACAGGGGAGAGGACGGATGGATGAGGAGGAGAGTGGTGGGAGGGAACGAGATGTAGATCCAACACATGCTTACGATTTGAAGTGAAAGGAGGCATGTATTAGTTTGAGTTTTGAGTTCAAATATCAACATGTTTCTCCAGAATAGCAGACTCAGACTTTAGGTACACATTTCATGTAAATGTTACTTACTTGAGTATTTCTAATTCTTTACATTTAAGGCAAATATTGCACTTCACCTCAACCAGCTTTTGTCGTTTGTTATATTAAGTATAATAGTCACATGTCTGCATTCATTACTTTTCCTGTTATAGCCTACTTTAGAAATCAGTTGATACCTTCAGCTTGCTTGATGGAAAACTACCAATCACAGCAGAGAAGAAACGTTCTGATTGTTGGTGCTGGAATATTGCTAATACCATTAGGAGTAGATTATCTGTTCAATGCACTACTGTCAGGATATAGTCACAGTTTGAGCAAAACTAACAAAAAGTTATTTCCATTAAAAATGTACCTTTTAAGTATATTTTTGTTATTCTGTAAGGAAGGTAAAATAAGTAATTATGTTAGGTGCTTCAACTCTCCAGTGAATTGTTGCTGATGTAAAAATGGTGAATACAGAGACATGAGTTTTGCTCAGGAAACATTTTGATGCGCAGGAGACTTTATTGTAACGGCGAGCAGCTGGTCGGTAAAGATCCCAAACTGATCCTCAGTTGTTTCTTCTCTTCCTCCTCAGCCAATCAGCAGGCAGCACCTGGCAGACTGTAGCCGACATGGTGAAGATGGAAACACACACCATCACCGGCCTCCTCCCCAACACCATCTACCTGTTCATCGTGCGAGCCGTGAACGCCTACGGCCTGAGCGACCCCAGCCCCATCTCTGAGCCCGTCAGGACCCAAGGTCAGTCTGCACTCTCAGGTAGAACATGACTCACACAGAGAACTGTAGCAGAGGAGTGAACATGAGTGTTTCCACAGATGTGAGTCCCACTGGGCAGGGCGTGGACCACAGGCAGGTGCAGAGGGAGCTGGGGGAGGTGGCCGTCCAGCTGCAGGAGCCCGTGACCCTGACAACGTCCTCCATCAGAGTGTCCTGGACCGTGAGTGGCTCTTTGTTTTATTTTAAGGAAGGACGCTTTGGAGGTTCAGAATGGACACATTTTACCCATTTCTCCTGTTGAGGATTATATTTGACATGTGCCGAGACCTTTCACCTAGTTTATCACTTTCTATTATCCTCGACTCTCCGTGCAGAGCTAAAGCATGGGAGTGCCACTTTGTCTCCTTATTATTGCTTGTTGTACACTGAAAGAGGTTTAAGGTTAGTGGAATGCATAATTAAGTTGAATCTAATATTTTGTAACTTATTATTATTGCTTTCAACTAACCTAATAGAGTTATGTGAAATCAGATATAATACATTTAATTAAAGTCAGTGTTTCAGTCCTTTCATTGTGGGTCACGCATAGCTTGATACGGGATATTTGCTGGCTCTAGGGACATCTAAGTTATGATATACTTTATTGATCCCAAATTGGAATGTTTTTTTAAGTAGTCCATCTTATCGGGGAATTGTCTACACTTTGGAAAATATTCTCTTAGCAAGGAGCCACAGTGCTTTGCTTGTTATGTCTATTCCTGCTGACATTTATTTAGAACTAGCTAAATACATGAGGCTGGGTGAGAGATCTTCAGAGTTGGTTGGGCATGAGCGTTTTCACTTCGTTGCTGCAAATGTTTTTGTCGTCTCTCCGGCTGTAACTTCCAATAAACCTTCAGTGTCTGCCATCAGGTAGAGCTCTCCTTTTGTTTCCAGTCCATGCTCCAGATGTTTCCTAAACGTCTCCTTCCTCTTATCTTTCTCAAATGTCCCCCTCTGTCCACTCCTCAGGTGGACCGTCAGTCTCAGTACGTGCAGGGCTACCGGCTCTTCTACCGGCCAAGCGGGGGGTCCTGGCTCCTGCAGGATATCAACTCCCCCTCTGAACGCAGCACCACTCTCACCAACCTGCTTAAAGGAACCGAGCACGAGATAAAGATCCGTCCATATTTCGATGAATTCCAGGGAAAGGACAGTCGGACGTTACTGGTTCGAACCACAGAAGAAGGTGATACATCTTGTGGCTTCTGAAAGAGATGCACAGAAATCCTCTTTAAAGGGGACCTATCATGCAAAATGCACTCTTGTACGTCTTTTATACATGAATATGTGTCCCCGGTGTGTCAGGGAACACAACCCTCTCTCTTTTCCTCCCCAAATCTCTAAAAAAGGGGCTGCAACGGATCTGATACAGACTGATCCAGATTTGAATTATTTTCTACGTCACAGAAGTGGTGCTCCGCTTAGTGGTTAATTCTCCACCTATCAGGGGAATGAGAGGTTGGGCCACGGCCGGCCATTGCCGCTCGAAAGCGCTGGAGACGCTGTAGTACATATGCCAGGCCTGTAAGTGGCGCTGTAGTCTGCCACAAAAGCAACGAAGAAGACTTCCCTTGCATGGTTGCCATGGTTGCCCTTCTGTTTATTCTCCGCTGTGGCTCTTTTTCTCCCTCCCCGAGGCAAGCGTTTGCGCCTCCTGCTTTAAAACAAATGAATAATGACTCTATATGTAAGGGATAATGTGCAGCGACGCGGTCATTATGTGGAAAAGAACACAGACAGGCTGATCAGGAGCCCGACGCGAAGCGGAGGGATCTAGATCGGCATGAAGGCACATTATGCAATGTGCACATTTCCCCGCTTATTACATGGCCACATTCTCAACACAGTAACGATATGACTCCCAATATTAATTGAAATGCTTTTATGGATTTAGAAAATGATTTTATTGATTTAAAAAATAGTTGTATGTATTTATTTAAATTGACATGCATCCGCTAAGAAAAATAGTCCGTTGTTACTGTTTGAACTAACGTAGCAACGGCAGGAACTGCTTCAATAGTGTTTTTGAGGAGCTTTTTGATTACAGATTTGAAAACATCGTTGCTTGCTTTAAAAGTAGCACAATTCATTATGTCAAACCTTGGAAAGTATCTAGATATCCCTGCCCTAATGCCAAAGTAACTGCAACTGAATATGTGTCGCCGTTTGATGTCTATGTCTGGACCGCTGCGTAAAAAGGAGGGTTTCTGCCCCGTTACTTCTCTTCTTACTTCTATAAGAATAAAACACAGAGGACGGAGATCTCTTTTTGTCCCCCTCTTCTCCCCGCTGCAGCCTAGCAGCTGATCTCAGAGCCCTCTCCTGCAGGGGGGCGTGGTCAGCTGCAGCTCACAGAATCAGCCCCCTGCAAAAACAGGGCTGGAAAGAGCAAATAGAGCGAAATGAGGCATGGCTAAAATGCAGGATCTGTTTGGTATTTTGAAAAAAAAACTATATTTATATACTTTATATAGGTATGGCGCTACAATATATGGTTAAAATATAGCATGATATGTCCTCTTTAAATAAACCAAGGTTGACTTCTTTGACATTGCGGGGCCTTGGAATCGGACGTTTATTAGCCTGTCTGACACCACATTAATCTCAGTAATCTTATCTCACTTGGCGATTAATTTTATATCCTCCGCACTTCTGGGTTCATTTATATTGATTCTTTTTTCATTCAATTCGCCCTCCACACACTGCTATTTCTGCAGCCTGAGGTTTTTTATCAGGGTTATATGAGCTGATACAAACTCAAGATTAAAAACAAGAGAGCACATATTTTACGCCATCAGCATTTTGGATCGACCCGAGAAGCTTAGTCTGGGGAAAATAAACTATTATTAACTTTTTTAAGAAATAATTAATTTCCCCATCTGATACAGCTCTCTTTCATGTTTCTTGTCTTGTGTTTTACATGTCCTCCCTTTATCCACTGTCATTTTAAATGTGCGTACTCACTCCAAATTCTGCCTCTCACAGTCCCCAGTGCCCCACCGAGATCTGTTACCGTGGTGACGGTGAAGCTAAGCAACAGCTCCAACATCAGCGTCTCCTGGGAGCCCCCCCCCAGCGAGATGCAGAATGGTATCATCCAGGAGTACAGGGTAAATACCTCTGCCCGGTCAACTGTCACTTTGTTTTATCTGCAGGAAACAAGCACCACCACCTAAGAATTCATATATAATAAACAGCACAAAGCTGCGAGAACACATTGAACACGCAGAGAAAACACTGCTTTAGGACAGGGGACATGTCACCATACTTGGATAGGGCTCAACATGTTGGAAAGTTCCATTTTAACCACAAAACTCAATCAGCACATTACTTACATTAAGGCAATGTTTTGTAATACATTTAGTCTTAAATGTTATGGTTTTATGGTATAATTCTGATTCTGATTATTTATATGCAAATTATGTATAATCGTATTAAATGCAACTATAAAAATGTTTTTAAAAATGTAAATGTTATATGACTCTAATATATGATAAATATATGAAAAATGCCCTCTCTTAAAACCTTCAGAATATTGTTAGTTGTTTTGAGAAATCAGCCTTTACAGATGTGTATCGTAAAATTCCATACAAGTTCAAAGAATGTCAGATGAATAGTTTAACATTAACTAATAGACATTACTATGAAAGTTCAATGAAAGACAATAATAGTTTTAAGTCTTCTGAAGTTGTATTTGAAAATATGCAAATAACACATTTTATAATGCTCACTTAAATTAAACACCTAAATGTGTTCTTTTGAAGTTTTTTTTCTACTAGAAAAATATTTGTATAAGCAATAAGACAAAAACTGTTACCCGGTTGAATTGCCCAGTACAGAAAGATTCATGTGTCATCCTGAAGTGTCTCGCCTTAATGTTCACATTTTAAGAATAAGAAGATTGATTCAATTAAATTCAAACTACTCACAAATAATGGAGCTGGGGGTTATTAGACAGTCACCAGAGAATTCTGTCTCTAGATGACCTTAATATTTAGTTCATTCTGGCTCCATGCAGGGCAACAGAAATCCTGAGGCTGTGTTTAAGACTTCAGAACTCACTGGTTAGTGGTCAGGTTCAATCTCTACTGTACATCCAACACAGGGAATATCTGAGAGTACAGCACACTGATGAAATATTGCAGCATTGTTAGTGATTTCATCAGGGAATAAATGCAAATACACTTTCAGCTTGATCTCATACACTAATACATTTAAAAGAGAATTGAGCAGAACAAATAAATCTGTGTCCCTCAGGTTTGGTGTGTGGGCAGCGGCGGAGACAACCAGACGCGGTACTACATCAACCGGACGGTAGACGGGGACACTCTGTCCACGGCGCTGAGGGGCCTGGTGCCCGGCGTGCTCTACCAGCTGGAGGTGGCGGCGGTGACCAGCGCCGGGGTGGGGGCCCGTAGCCAGCCACTGTCCGTGCTCATCAGTGAGTCCACCACACCAACAGCTGCAGGAATAACAGTTTCATATCTCAACAACGTTCGGAGGGATTGTCATGACATTCTGTGCACACATTCAATGTCCCCAGAGGATGAATCCTGAGGGTTTCAGAATCAGAAATCATTTCATTTTCCCCCACAGCGGGGAAATGTACATTGTTACAGCAAAGGGACAGAGCAGATAAAAGACAACAATACAAACAGTAGTCTAACATTTTAATTAAAGAGGCAATCATACTTTAATAAAATCAGATAAAGACATAGCCATGGCATAAATACAAAAAATAGCAATATTTTATTTTAGGTGTGTTGTTTTATTATGTATGAATTTTGATATGTATCTGTCAATGTGTCTTTGCATACATTTTAAAGGCACTATATCAATAAAATGTATTATTATTATTAGAAAAAAGTAAACAGAAATATAAAAGTATTGAAGGAGCAGCCTGTAATATCATTTTTGACTGTAAAGAAAATATGAGTCTGTTATAGTCATGAACAGTGCTAAACCCTCTTGTTTATTATCCAATCCTTTATTAGCACATCTATGCAGAATAAAAGAGATTCATATCTGTTAGAATATCACTCGTCACCGGCTTGATCTTCAATATCAGGATACATGTATTTATTATCCTTGGAAGAATGGAAGTAGTCATCACACACAGAGCTGCGTGGGACAAATAGTTCCCAGAACAGTGTCCTTCATATGCTGATATACAAGAGACGGAGTTACAGTCAACAAGATGGAAGAACACCGGTTCAAAGCAGTATTCTGACATTAGCTCAGATTAGCTAAGGCCTGCGTAAGCAATACACATGACAGTCATATGCCTATCTCTCTATGCAGGGCTGTGTCATCATCTTAGGAGCATAGCTATCATAACTTCAACACAGTGTCTCATGAGCGTCATCCATGTAGTCATACATCCGGCTACGTGCACAGCTACGTAGGGCCTGTGTTATCATGTGCTACTCTGATATAGAAGGAACATTCAGTATTTTCCCAACAACATCATATTTTAACATGCTAACACTCTACACAATCATGCCAATCGTAAACCTGCTAAATGTTATTAATGTGGAAGTTTGCATTTAGTTTCTGTGCCCAGGTACCTTAGACTCTCTGGTTAGTATCATATTATATAATGTCTCTACGGCTCTAGCTCAATCATATACAATAGGCTTTGATTGATGTTTAACTTTATGCACTAGGTTTTTATTGGTTTGGTTAAAAGACATTGAAGCACAACAGATCAACAAAGAAGATGATGTAATGATCTGTAGTTCCACTTACTGAGCACTGAGACTGCTCTTGTAAAGGTCTTTAATGACATCCACTTAAACACAGACAGTGGCAGAACTTCAGTGTTAGTATTATTAGATCTCAGTGCTGCGTTTGACACTGTTGACCACAGCATATTACTAGACCGACTGGAAAACTGGGTGGGACTTTCAGAAACAGTTCTAAATTGGTTTGAATCCTACTTAAAGGACAGAAACAATTTTGTTTCTATAGGTAAATACACATCTGAGTTGACAAATATGACATGTGGGGTTCCTCAAGGCTCCATCTTGGGGCCTCTTCTCTTTAACATCTACATGCTACCACTGGCTCAGATAATGAAGAACAACAAAATAAGTTACCATAGCTATGCAGATGACACACAAATGTACGTAACAATTTCACCAGGAGACTATTCTCCAATTCAAACACTGAGTAAGTGCATTGAACAAATCAATGACTGGATGTGTCAGAACTTTCTCCAATTAAACAAAGATAAAACTGAGGTAATGGTTTTTGGAGCCAAGGCAGAACGTATAAAAGTTAGCGCTGAGCTTCAGTGTGCAATGTTCAAAACAACAGATAAAGCCAGAAATCTAGGTGTAGTCATGGACTCTGACCTGAGTTTCAACAGTCACATTAAAACTGTTACTAAATCAGCCTACTATCACCTAAAGAATATATCTAGGATTAAAAGACTAATGTCACAGCAGGATTTGGAAAAACTTGTCCATGCTTTTATCTTCAGTAGACTCGACTACTGCAATGGTGTCTTCACAGGTCTCACTAAAAAATCTATTAGAAAGCTGCAGCTAATTCAGAACACTGCTGCTCGAGTCCTCACTAACACTAAGAAAGTGGATCACATCACTCCTGTTCTGAAGTCTTTACACTGGCTTCCTGTGTGTCAAAGAATAGATTTCAAAATACTGCTGCTGGTTTATAAAGCTTTGAATGGTTTAGGCCCAAAATACATTTCTGACCTCCTGCTAAATGATGAACCATCCAGATCTCTCAGGTCTTCAGGGACTGGTCAGCTTTCTGTCCCCAGAGTCAGAACTAAACATGGAGAAGCAGCGTTCAGTTATTATGCTCCAAATATCTGGAACAAACTCCCAGAAACCTGCAGGTCCGCTGCAACTCTGACTACTTTTAAATCCAGACTAAAGACTTTTCTTTTTGTCGCTGCTTTTAATTGAACTATTCATATCTTAAACTGCACTGTAACTTTTATCCATGTATTTTTTTCTTTTAATGTTTATTTTATTAGCTTTTCTTTTTAATGACTGATTTTAAATGCCATTTTCTTAATCTCTTTCATTTTTTGTAAAGCACTTTGAATTGCCGTGTGTTGAAAAGTGCTATATAAATAAACTTGCCTTGCCTTGCCTTACTTTAGTTGATCTGATTTGTCGTCTCGTTTCTTCCCCCAGAGCTGCCAGCTGAAGCGCCCTCTGCTCCAGGCGGGGGGGGCCCCAGCGACGGCAGCGAGGAGAGCAGCGTGAGTCTGGCGGAGCAGATCACCGACGTGGTGAAGCAGCCGGCCTTCATCGCGGGCATCGGGGGGGCCTGCTGGGTCATCCTCATGGGCTTCAGCGTCTGGATCTACTGCCGCCGCAAGAAGAGGAAGGAGCTGAGCCACTACACCGCCTCCTTCAACTACACCCCCGCAGGTCAGGGCCCACATGGTGGAGGACACAGTGATGTCTTATTGTGGAAGCACTCAGATCGCAGCCCAAAACTTTTCATACACTGAAAACACTGTAATGTTGACTCTAATTAAATGTATTATGTCAACAGACAACTGTATTAGGTTAATTGAACCCAATAATATTAACTTTGAACAAAATATATAAGGTTCAACTTATTTATATTGCTTTCAACTAACTCATTCAACTTTTCAGTTTTTTCAGTGTTTTTATTCTTTTAAGGCGAAATAATTATATTTCTTTTTTTTAAAGGGAAAATAAACATTTAAATTGGAATGCATGTTTGCACATTTCTGTGATAGTGGGAACAGCTGATCTTGAGAATAAGCATTGTGTTGCGTAACAATAACATACACTGCAAGCAAAGGAGGCTACAAAGCTGCTTCTCATCACTCTCTTCCTCTCTGTCTCCTGCAGTCGGTTTTCCTCATGTAGAGGGAGCAGGACTCAATGGAAGGTAATTGAATAGCATCCTACAGTCCATTTATATCCTGCCATCTCTCTGTATTCTCTTTGAATTCACAGTACTAGACTGGACTGATATTGTAGATGTTTCTCACTGTCAGTGACTGTTGTACTGTGACCCCCACACTAACAGAAGTCTCCTCTGCAGGCCGGGGGTTCTGGGGGGGAGCATGGGAAATTACCCGTGGCTGGCCGACTCCTGGCCCACCACCAACCTGGTGCACAGCGGGAAGGAAGCTGTCACCTGCTGCACCACCAACCACGACACCGCCGAGAGATACTACAACGGTAGGAACAAACTATTCAGTACATGCCTGTGTTCAATTTAATTAATGTATTAACAGAACATTTAAAAATACAACTAGAGTCATGAGACATATTGGAGATATGTGAACTGGGACACACTTATAAGCTGTCCAGAGCTGTAGCATAGGGACTCAGACACTAAGCAAAACCTATTCAAAATATATATTACTAACATATCTAGAAATCTAATACTAATACAATATTCTAAGACTAATCCAACCCTAGATACTAAATGGTCCCAAAACAATAATAACATCAGTCTAAATAATTAAAATAGTTAAGCTATATATATAAAAACGGACACATTCCAAGGGACAATAGAGGTACCAAATGCATTTCAGAATAAAATATCCTTTTTTGTTTTCAAGCTTTGACATATTTTGAACTTTTTGGCACTTGACTCTTTATCTTTTATTGGACATTTTACTTTAATTATTTTGTTTATATATCTTATATGTACGGAGCCCTGGAGGGTTCATAGAGAAACAAATAAATAAAACGTGGCCACGCTTTATTAACTCGTGCGCACGAGTTAATAAAGCGTTCGCACGAGAAGGTATCTCGTGCGAACGAGAAAGTAAAACGTGGCCACGTTTTATTTATTGTTCTCTCTATGAACCCTCCAGGGCTCCGTATATATGATATTATATTGCACATTATTGCTACTTATATTATATAATACATTATATTTCAATGTATATTTTCAGTAGAGGGAACTACTGTCACAAAAACACTTTTCGCCTGTATCATTATACTTTATTACTAATAATTCTGATTCTGATTAATAACAACTGCTGCCTTGACCTCTTGATAAAGAAATAATAATATAATTGTATATTGTTATAAATTGAGTAGCTGTTGCTGCAGCTTTTCATAAGTGAAAGTGGTTTTGAGTATGGTGATAAGTAGAGTTATTAACCCCCCCCCCCTCCCTGCAGAAGCGGGTATCTCCAATTACCTGAACCAGACGGAGAAGTACAGCATGGGGGGCTCCACTGAGGGCCCGATCTACAGCACCATCGACGCCACCAACGAGGAGATGCACGGCTTCACCTACGCCCAGCACACCTCCCCCACCCCCTACGCCTCCACCTCCATCACGCCTTGCCCCACCCACACCCAGGGGTCCCACAACAACGAGCAGCAGGAGGAGGGACACTGGATCCCCCAGCCCGGGCCCTCTGGGGCCCAGTATGCCCAGCCGGACCGCTGCACTGGTGAGGACCACATCCTGCCAACGCATCCCCGCTTTATTAAGACGGACTAGCTTCGCCTCCTTGCTTAATATTATCTATGTGGGATACTTTTTTTGATACACCATGAATGTTGGGGAAATATTCTCCTAGGCCCATAACTTTGACCCATTTGATCAGTTTGTTCTGCCCTCACTGAGCACAGGCACCTGCAACCTTGGGTGTTGTGCTCTCAGGGTTTTGTCTCCCTGTTCCTGCCTGTTGGCGTCAGCTGATAGAGGTGTTATGGTTCTATGTTCCAGCCTGTTGGCGTCAGCTGATAGAGGTGTTATGGTTCTATGTTCCTGCCTGTTGGCGTCAGCTGATAGAGGTGTTATGGTTCTATGTTCCAGCCTGTTGGCGTCAGCTGATAGAGGTGTTATGGTTCTATGTTCCAGCCTGTTGGCGTCAGCTGATAGAGGTGTTATGGTTCTATGTTCCTGCCTGTTGGCGTCAGCTGATAGAGGTGTTATGGTTCTATGTTCCTGCCTGTTGGCGTCAGCTGATAGAGGTGTTATGGTTCTATGTTCCAGCCTGTTGGCGTCAGCTGATAGAGGTGTTATGGTTCTATGTTCCTGCCTGTTGGATCAGCTGATAGAGGTGTTATGGTTCTATGTTCCTGCCTGTTGGTGTCAGCTGATAGAGGTGTTATGGTTCTATGTTCCTGCCTGTTGGTGTCAGCTGATAGAGGTGTTATGGTTCTATGTTCCCGCCTGTTGGCGTCAGCTGATAGAGGTGTTATGGTTCTATGTTCCTGCCTGTTGGCGTCAGCTGATAGAGGTGTTATGGTTCTATGTTCCAGCCTGTTGGTGTCAGCTGATAGAGGTGTTATGGTTCTATGTTCCTGCCTGTTGGCATCAGCTGATAGAGGTGTTATGGTTCTATGTTCCTGCCTGTTGGTGTCAGCTGATAGAGGTGTTATGGTTCTATGTTCCTGCCTGTTGGCGTCAGCTGATAGAGGGTGTTATGGTTCTATGTTCCTGCCTGTTGGTGTCAGCTGATAGAGGTGTTATGGTTCTATGTTCTGCCTGTTGGATCAGCTGATAGAGGTGTTATGGTTCTATGTTCCTGCCTGTTGGCGTCAGCTGATAGAGGTGTTATGGTTCTATGTTCCTGCCTGTTGGTGTCAGCTGATAGAGGTGTTATGGTTCTATGTTCCTGCCTGTTGGTGTCAGCTGATAGAGGTGTTATGGTTCTATGTTCCTGCCTGTTGGATCAGCTGATAGAGGTGTTATGGTTCTATGTTCCAGCCTGTTGGCGTCAGCTGATAGAGGTGTTATGGTTCTATGTTCCTGCCTGTTGGTGTCAGCTGATAGAGGTGTTATGGTTCTATGTTCCTGCCTGTTGGTGTCAGCTGATAGAGGTGTTATGATTCTATGTTCCTGCCTGTTGGATCAGCTGATAGAGGTGTTATGGTTCTATGTTCCTGTCTGTTGGCGTCAGCTGATAGAGGTGTTATGATTCTATGTTCCTGCCTGTTGGCGTCAGCTGATAGAGTTGTTATGGTTCTATGTTCCTGCCTGTTGGCGTCAGCTGATAGAGGTGTTATGGTTCTATGTTCCTGCCTGTTGGCGTCAGCTGATAGAGGTGTTATGGTTCTATGTTCCTGCCTGTTGGTGTCAGCTGATAGAGGTGTTATGGTTCTATGTTCCAGCCTGTTGGCGTCAGCTGATAGAGGTGTTATGGTTCTATGTTCCTGCCTGTTGGTGTCAGTTGATAGAGGTGTTATGGTTCTATGTTCCTGCCTGTTGGTGTCAGCTGATAGAGGTGTTATGGTTCTATGTTCCTGCCTGTTGGCGTCAGCTGATAGAGGTGTTATGATTCTATGTTCCTGCCTGTTGGATCAGCTGATAGAGGTGTTATGGTTCTATGTTCCTGTCTGTTGGCGTCAGCTGATAGAGGTGTTATGATTCTATGTTCCTGCCTGTTGGCGTCAGCTGATAGAGTTGTTATGGTTCTATGTTCCTGCCTGTTGGCGTCAGCTGATAGAGGTGTTATGGTTCTATGTTCCTGCCTGTTGGCGTCAGCTGATAGAGGTGTTATGGTTCTATGTTCCTGCCTGTTGGCGTCAGCTGATAGAGGGTGTTATGGTTCTATGTTCCTGCCTGTTGGTGTCAGCTGATAGAGGTGTTATGATTCTATGTTCCTGCCTGTTGGCGTCAGCTGATAGAGGTGTTACTGTATGGTTCTATGTTCCTGCCTGTTGGATCAGCTGATAGAGGTGTTATGGTTCTATGTTCCTGCCTGTTGGTGTCAGCTGATAGAGGTGTTATGGTTCTATGTTCCTGCCTGTTGGTGTCAGCTGATAGAGGTGTTATGGTTCTATGTTCCTGCCTGTTGGTGTCAGCTGATAGAGGTGTTATGGTTCTATGTTCCTGCCTGTTGGCGTCAGCTGATAGAGGTGTTATGGTTCTATGTTCCAGCCTGTTGGCGTCAGCTGATAGAGGTGTTATGGTTCTATGTTCCTGCCTGTTGGTGTCAGCTGATAGAGGTGTTATGGTTATATGTTCCTGCCTGTTGGTGTCAGCTGATAGAGGTGTTATGGTTCTATGTTCCTGCCTGTTGGCGTCAGCTGATAGAGGTGTTATGATTCTATGTTCCTGTCTGTTGGCGTCAGCTGATAGAGGTGTTATGATTCTATGTTCCTGCCTGTTGGTGTCAGCTGATAGAGGTGTTATGGTTCTATGTTCCAGCCTGTTGGTGTCAGCTGATAGAGGTGTTATGGTTCTATGTTCCTGCCTGTTGGTGTCAGCTGATAGAGGTGTTACTGTATGGTTCTATGTTCCTGCCTGTTGGCGTCAGCTGATAGAGGTGTTATGGTTCTATGTTCCTGCCTGTTGGTGTCAGCTGATAGAGGTGTTATGATTCTATGTTCCTGCCTGTTGGATCAGCTGATAGAGGTGTTATGGTTCTATGTTCCTGCCTGTTGGTGTCAGCTGATAGAGGTGTTATGGTTCTATGTTCCTGCCTGTTGGATCAGCTGATAGAGGTGTTATGGTTCTATGTTCCTGCCTGTTGACGTCAGCTGATAGAGGTGTTATGGTTCTATGTTCCTGCCTGTTGGCGTCAGCTGATAGAGGTGTTATGGTTCTATGTTCCAGCCTGTTGGCGTCAGCTGATAGAGGTGTTATGGTTCTATGTTCCTGCCTGTTGGATCAGCTGATAGAGGGTGTTATGGTTCTATGTTCCTGCCCTGTTGGTGTCAGCTGATAGAGGTGTTATGATTCTATGTTCCTGCCTGTTGGTGTCAGCGTGATAGAGGTGTTAGTGGTTCTGATGTTCCTGCCTGTTGGATCAGCTGATAGAGGTGTTATGGTTCTATGTTCCTGCCTGTTGGTGTCAGCTGATAGAGGTGTTTATGTTCTATGTTCGCTGCCTGTTGGATCAGCTGATAGAGGTGTTATGGTTCTATGTTCCTGCCTGTTGGCGTCAGCTGATAGAGGTGTTATGGTTCTATGTTCCTGCCTGTTGGCGTCAGCTGATAGAGGTGTTATGGTTCTATGTTCCTGCCTGTTGGATCAGCTGATAGAGGTGTTATAATTCTATGTTCCTGCCTGTTGGCGTCAGCTGATAGAGGTGTTATGGTTCTATGTTCCTGCCTGTTGGCATCAGCTGATAGAGGTGTTAGGTTCTATGTTCCTGCCTGTTGGATCAGCTGATAGCGGTGTATACTTCTATGTTCCTGCTGTTGGCGTCAGCTGATTAGAGGTGTTATGGTTCTATGTTCCTGCCTGTTGGTGTCAGCTGATAGAGGGTGTTATGGTTCTATGTTCCTGCCTGTTGGCGTCAGCTGATAGAGGTGTTATGGTTCTATGTTCCTGCCTGTTGGTGTCAGCTGATAGAGGTGTTATGTTTCTATGTTCCTGCCTGTTGACGTCAGCTGATAGAGGTGTTATGGTTCTATGTTCCTGCCTGTTGGATCAGCTGATAGAGGTGTTATGGTTCTATGTTCCTGCCTGTTGGATCAGCTGATAGAGGTGTTATGGTTCTATGTTCCTGCCTGTTGGCGTCAGCTGATAGAGGTGTTATGGTTCTATGTTCCTGCCTGTTGGTGTCAGCTGATAGAGGTGTTATGGTTCTATGTTCCTGCCTGTTGGTGTCAGCTGATAGAGGTGTTATGGTTCTATGTTCCTGCCTGTTGATGTCAGCTGATAGAGGTGTTATGGTTCTATGTTCCTGCCTGTTGGCGTCAGCTGATAGAGGTGTTATGATTCTATGTTCCTGCCTGTTGGTGTCAGCTGATAGAGGTGTTATGGTTCTATGTTCCTGCCTGTTGGTGTCAGCTGATAGAGGTGTTATGGTTCTATGTTCCTGCCTGTTGGTGTCAGCTGATAGAGGTGTTATGGTTCTATGTTCCTGCCTGTTGGGTGTCAGCTGATAGAGGTGTTATGGTTCTATGTTCCTGCCTGTTGGTGTCAGCTGATAGAGGTGTTATGGTTCTATGTTCCTGCCTGTTGGTGTCAGCTGATAGAGGTGTTATGGTTCTATGTTCCTGCCTGTTGGCGTCAGCTGATAGAGGTGTTATGGTTCTATGTTCCTGCCTGTTGGTGTCAGCTGATAGAGGTGTTATGGTTCTATGTTCCTGCCTGTTGGCGTCAGCTGATAGAGGTGTTATGATTCTATGTTCCTGCCTGTTGGCGTCAGCTAATAGAGGTGTTATGATTCTATGTTCCTGCCTGTTGGCGTCAGCTGATAGAGGTGTTATGGTTCTATGTTCCTGCCTGTTGGCGTCAGCTGATAGAGGTGTTATGATTCTATGTTCCTGCCTGTTGGCGTCAGCTGATAGAGGTGTTATGGTTCTATGTTCTTGCCTGTTGGCGTCAGCTGATAGAGGTGTTATGATTCTATGTTCCTGCCTGTTGGTGTCAGCTGATAGAGGTGTTATGGTTCTATGTTCCAGCCTGTTGGCGTCAGCTGATAGAGGTGTTATGGTTCTATGTTCCTGCCTGTTGGCGTCAGCTGATAGAGGTGTTATGGTTCTATGTTCCTGCCTGTTGGTGTCAGCTGATAGAGGTGTTATGGTTCTATGTTCCTGCCTGTTGGCGTCAGCTGATAGAGGTGTTATGATTCTATGTTCCTGCCTGTTGGCGTCAGCTGATAGAGGTGTTATGGTTCTATGTTCCTGCCTGTTGGTGTCAGCTGATAGAGGTGTTATGGTTCTATGTTCCTGCCTGTTGGCGTCAGCTGATAGAGGTGTTATGGTTCTATGTTCCTGCCTGTTGGCGTCAGCTGATAGAGGTGTTATGATTCTATGTTCCTGCCTGTTGGTGTCAGCTGATAGAGGTGTTATGGTTCTATGTTCCTGCCTGTTGGCGTCAGCTGATAGAGGTGTTATGGTTCTATGTTCCTGCCTGTTGGATCAGCTGATAGAGGTGTTATGGTTCTATGTTCCTGCCTGTTGGTGTCAGCTGATAGAGGTGTTATGGTTCTATGTTCCTGTCTGTTGGCGTCAGCTGATAGAGGTGTTATGGTTCTATGTTCCTGCCTGTTGGTGTCAGCTGATAGAGGTGTTATGGTTCTATGTTCCTGCCTGTTGGTGTCAGCTGATAGAGGTGTTATGGTTCTATGTTCCTGCCTGTTGGTGTCAGCTGATAGAGGTGTTATGATTCTATGTTCCTGCCTGTTGGCGTCAGCTGATAGAGGTGTTATGGTTCTATGTTCCTGCCTGTTGGCGTCAGCTGATAGAGGTGTTATGGTTCTATGTTCCTGCCTGTTGGTGTCAGCTGATAGAGGTGTTATGGTTCTATGTTCCTGCCTGTTGTGTCAGCTGATAGAGGTGTTATGGTTCTATGTTCCTGCCTGTTGGCGTCAGCTGATAGAGGGTGTTATGGTTCTATGTTCCTGCCTGTTGGCGTCAGCTGATAGAGGTGTTATGGTTCTATGTTCCTGCCTGTTGGTGTCAGCTGATAGAGGTGTTATGGTTCTATGTTCCTGTCTGTTGGCGTCAGCTGATAGAGGTGTTATGGTTCTATGTTCCTGCCTGTTGGCGTCAGCTGATAGAGGTGTTACTGTATGGTTCTATGTTCCTGCCTGTTGGCGTCAGCTGATAGAGGTGTTATGGTTCTATGTTCCTGCCTGTTGGCGTCAGCTGATAGAGGTGTTACTGTATGGTTCTATGTTCCTGCCTGTTGGTGTCAGCTGATAGAGGTGTTATGGTTCTATGTTCCTGCCTGTTGGCGTCAGCTGATAGAGGTGTTATGATTCTATGTTCCTGCCTGTTGGCGTCAGCTGATAGAGGTGTTATGGTTCTATGTTCCTGTCTGTTGGCGTCAGCTGATAGAGGTGTTATGATTCTATGTTCCTGCCTGTTGGCGTCAGCTGATAGAGGTGTTATGATTCTATGTTCCTGCCTGTTGGTGTCAGCTGATAGAGGTGTTATGATTCTATGTTCCTGCCTGTTGGCGTCAGCTGATAGAGGTGTTATGATTCTATGTTCCTGCCTGTTGGTGTCAGCTGATAGAGGTGTTATGGTTCTATGTTCCTGCCTGTTGGTGTCAGCTGATAGAGGTGTTATGGTTCTATGTTCCTGCCTGTTGGTGTCAGCTGATAGAGGTGTTATGATTCTATGTTCCTGCCTGTTGGTGTCAGCTGATAGAGGTGTTATGATTCTATGTTCCTGCCTGTTGGTGTCAGCTGATAGAGGTGTTATGGTTCTATGTTCCTGCTTGTTGGTGTCAGCTGATAGAGGTGTTATGGTTCTATGTTCCTGCCTGTTGGCGTCAGCTGATAGAGGTGTTATGGTTCTATGTTCCTGCCTGTTGGCGTCAGCTTATAGAGGTGTTATGGTTCTATGTTCCTGCCTGTTGGCGTCAGCTGATAGAGGTGTTATGGTTCTATGTTCCTGCCTGTTGGTGTCAGCTGATAGAGGTGTTATGGTTCTATGTTCCTGTCTGTTGGTGTCAGCTGATAGAGATGTTATGGTTCTATGTTCCTGCCTGTTGGCGTCAGCTGATAGAGGTGTTATGGTTCTATGTTCCTGCCTGTTGGCGTCAGCTGATAGAGGTGTTATGGTTCTATGTTCCTGCCTGTTGGTGTCAGCTGATAGAGGTGTTATGGTTCTATGTTCCTGTCTGTTGGTGTCAGCTGATAGAGATGTTATGGTTCTATGTTCCTGCCTGTTGGTGTCAGCTGATAGAGGTGTTATGGTTCTATGTTCCTGTCTGTTGGTGTCAGCTGATAGAGGTGTTATGGTTCTATGTTCCAGCCTGTTGGCGTCAGCTGATAGAGGTGTTATGGTTCTATGTTCCTGCCTGTTGGTGTCAGCTGATAGAGGTGTTATGGTTCTATGTTCCAGCCTGTTGGTGTCAGCTGATAGAGGTGTTATGGTTCTATGTTCCTGTCTGTTGGCGTCAGCTGATAGAGGTGTTATGGTTCTATGTTCCTGCCTGTTGACGTCAGCTGATAGAGGTGTTATGGTTCTATGTTCCTGTCTGTTGGCGTCAGCTGATAGAGGTGTTATGGTTCTATGTTCCAGCCTGTTGGCGTCAGCTGATAGAGGTGTTATGATTCTATGTTCCTGCCTGTTGGTGTCAGCTGATAGAGGTGTTATGGTTCTATGTTCCTGTCTGTTGGCGTCAGCTGATAGAGGTGTTATGGTTCTATGTTCCTGCCTGTTGGCGTCAGCTGATAGAGGTGTTATGGTTCTATGTTCCTGTCTGTTGGCGTCAGCTGATAGAGGTGTTATGGTTCTATGTTCCTGCCTGTTGGCGTCAGCTGATAGAGGTGTTATGGTTGTATCTTGTTATGCACAATGTTGATTCTTCTCTCAGAATACATTGGTCTGGGGTAGAGATCTTCAGAATTGGTTTGGCATCTACTGTGTCAACTCGTGGCACAGCACATGTCTTTGTCAATCCTCCGGCCAAAGCTCCAAATAAACCATCAGTGTTTGCCATCAAAGTTCCGAGTCTCTCTGAGTCCTGTCTCCATTGCACACAGACTCTTGCTCTCACTCTTTGTCTGAATGAGCTTAGACATATTTATACAGTGACGTCACCATGACAACGTTTCCTCTTCATATGACTCACTGTGTTTCTCTGTGTTATAGGTAAGCCCAAACAGAAGGCGATGGGTAAGGCTGTGAAGACCCCGTCTCTGACCTGGATGGAGGCGTTGCCCCCACCCCCCCCCATCGGAGAGCTGGAACAGTGTGAGCCGGACGATCAGCCCCCGGAGCACGAGGACATGGACATAGGGTGAGTCAGCTTCCCTTCACACATCTTTATAAATTAGTATTACACTGCTGCACCATCTTTTACACTCACTGTCACCTATAACAGGCACATTAGGTGCCCCCCCCCGCTGCCTCTGGCTGTAACAACTCAATTACCTGGGCCTGGGTCAATAGCGTTAGTGATTAAACTGTTTTCCCCACCTCTGAAACACAATTTGCTGTGTTCCTCTTTCCATTCCCTCTCTGCAGTCTGAGAGCACACATATTGTCCTGTAGCTCAGAGCAGAATCCCCCCCGAGTAAGAGCTGAGCCCCCTGAGGTTTAGCCAACGGCGAGACCCCCTAACTGAGCGGAGGCTGAGAGAACAGAGTTAATGTTTGATCGCCTCAGAGCGGGTTAGGATTGTCAAATGAGACTTTGTTTTTCTGAGAACACTGTCTGACTATCATCCAGCTGTAACACTCCTCTCTGTGGCTGTAGGTCAGATGAAGAGTGGTGCCCCCCCCTCCCAGAGAGGACCTATCTGATGGAGGGCTGCGAGGACGGACCCTCCCCCCTACACAGGAACACCGCCTCCTCTCCAGCCACCTCCTACAGTCACCAGTCCACCGCCACGCTCACCCCTTCGCCTCACGAGGAGCCCCGGGGCCCCCATGACCCCCCACGCCTCAGCCAAGCAGACCAGCAGCTGTCACGGTATGTGAGGAGGCTCGCCAACCATGTGTTGACGTAGAAATCCAAAGTCACTCATGACCCTAAACTCTTCAAAACTCATTGGCTATACAGTACCGTGGTGTTCAGTGTAATGGTAATTGAGATGCAACACATGAATACAGTTATTGTGAGGTTCAGATCAACCTGTAGACATGGAGAAATAATTCCATTACAGTAGATTATCCATGAATTTACAGCCCGTCCTGTCCTATTTTGTTCTATTTTTACATATATTAAACATTTAAAGTAAGTGTATTCCCCTTAAAATAAAAATAAAAAACCCAATATTACTGTTATAAATGAATAATTAAACTCACAAACCATACAATTCTTACTTGTATGCCTTAATTACACCCTTGATCTGTTTGAGCAGTAGGGTTAGGTTTCAAAGTGGCTGCTGTTTTATTAACACTGCTATTTATTATTTACAAATGCTAGGTTCCATATTCTCATTTCAATAATGCATTTGTAAACTAGCTGCACAGTCATGTTCTCATATTCAGGAAAAACTATTGTAATTTATTTATTTGTTTTATTTTTAACCATAGTGGTCATTTTCCATTGTAAGCCACATATTAAATCCTTTGGCCAAATGTTAACAATACATATTTTTAGAATTTGAGTTTCCAGCAAAAGAACACTTAACACTAATCTATAAACGACTAACTAATGAATCCCTACTACGACATGCTGAGTAAAATCATAACAGAAACAGGGAACCAAACGGGATGAAAAGCACAAACAGTTTCTATACCCCTGCTCTGTCTGACCCAGAGATGGTTCTGGTTCTGGGTCTCCTCTCCTCTCACGCTGCCTCTCCTCCATAGCAGAAGGTTGGCCTGCGGTCCGGTGCCAGTTCCCCAGGCCCCCAGCCCTCTGCCCCCCCCTTCCATCCCCAGCCTCTCCGGCCAGCAGCATCAAGGCTCATCGGAGGCTGGCACGCTGCAGTGCCAGAGCCCCGCCCCCCGCGGCCCCCACAGCCAGGGGCCGACGCTCAACCCAGACAGCGGCAGCACTACACCGGGTAAGGAGACAAGCCTGGAAAAACACACACATCAGAAAACAAGATAATACAAGCTGAACATGCATGTGCTCTTTCACCCTGTGCTGACTCACTGTTTGTATTTTAAATCAAAAACCTTTATTCGTCTCACAGAGGGTACATTTACATTGTTACAGCAAAAATAAAGAGCTAAAAATGGTTTAAAGATGAAAATTGAAATAACATAAATAACAATTTAAAAAAAACACATCCAGTACCAGTGACAGTATTTCAAAATATACAATTATTTACAGATTTATTACAGAAGTTTAGTTGTCTAACTAAGCCAGTAATACTAATAACAATTGCGAAACAGTATATATATATATATATTGCACATAATAATATTGCACAACAGGGGTGTTATAGCATATGGAGTATGCAGTGAATACATCAATCCCTCATGTCTATATATGTATAATAAACTCTAATTGATCTCCCCTCTCCTCATACAGTGCACAGTTGCTCCTCCCCAGCAGAAACGTGCACTCCCCCCAACCAAAAATCCAGAGTGAAGAAAAAGGTGTCCAAGAGTTCAGCTTACAGAAGAGATGCGCAAGGAGGTGAGTGGGCTTGGGTCTGGGTTTAAATATCTTCTCTCCAGTCAGAGGAACAATATCAGCTACATTTCTGTTGTCTGTAATATAGTAAGAGTTACATTACATTGCATTTAGCTGACGCTTTTATCCAAAGCGACTTACAATAAGTGCATTCGACCAAGAAGATACAAACTTGAAGAAAACAGAATTATTATAGAATCATTCCACCATCTTGGAGCCAGGATAGCAAACCCACGTGTTTTCGCCGATGGGAACTTGGGTCCCCCTCGCAGTGCGGGCGCAGCGAGCCGTTTGGCTGATGCAGAGCGGAGTGCACGTGCTGGGGTGTACGGTTTAACCATGTCCTGGATGTAGGAAGGGCCAGATCCATTCGCAGCACGGTAAGCAAGTACCAGTGTCTTGAAGTGGATTCTAGCAGTTACCGGAAGCCAGTGAAGGGAGCGGAGGAGCGGAGTGGTGTGGGAGAATTTAGGAAGGTTGAAAACCAGACGAGCCGCTGCATTCTGGATGAGCTGCAGAGGTCGGATGGCACATGCAGGTAGACCAGCCAGGAGGGAGTTGCAGTAGTCTAGGCGTGAGATGACGAGAGCCTGGACCAGAACCTGAGTCGCTTTCTGGGTCAATTGGGTGTCGTCAGCGTAGCAGTGGTAAGAAAAACCATGCGGGCTAATGACTGATCTATTGATCACATCACTGCTACTCTCTGCTTCGTACTCAATTATACAGAGAAAAACAGAAATCAAAAACATGAAAAACAAGTGCTTTTATTTCTTATGAATAAAAAGTAATTATGCCACAGGAAGCTGACTCGAAATTAAGCATGTTTTTCCTTTTGTTTAGACCTTCCCCCACCTCCAGAGCCTCCCCCAGGGGGGGAGAGGTTGCAGGGTCTGCAGGGGAGCATGGAGGCCAGCAACGCAGTGAACGTGGCCTTGTCCTCCCTGGAGAGGAGCGAGTACAGCAGCCAGAGGAAGGGCTCGGCTCACAGACACATCGAAAGTAAGACAAAGGGTTACACTCAGTTCAGGCTGGCAGAGGCTAACCCAGCACACAGAGCTCATGATCCTCCTGGAATATTACACTCCTTGTTTAAATCAGAAATGGGATAAAAAGATAACACTTGAAAATAAACTGTGTACACTACTTTGGCTCCGCCCTGAGTGGCTGCCTGTTTGAGCAGCTCTTCAACCTGTGTGAATCTGTGCTGTCCTGTTGTTCACGCTTACCCTGTTGCTGCTTGTACAACTGAATTTCCCCACGGGGATTAATAGAGGTCCATCCTATGTTATCTTACACGCTCTCATGCCCTGCTGCTGAAGTACTCTTCAAGTGTCCCACAGTAATGAAAATGGGACACATGGACGTGTGTACATGACTTATTGTCAGATCATACATTTCAGGGTCCGAATCAGAGTCAGGTTTATTGACAATAGGTTTACACATGGAACTTACTTTGGTGTACAATAGTGGGTATACTTCATAAACACAGTAAACAAATGAGGTTTTCAGAAAGAGGCATATATAAGAGGATCTTATCAAAACAGACAAAATATTGCTTCTTTTTCCGTTGTTTAATTCTGTGCATATTCCAAAAGGTCTGGATAGCTGATGCCAAAATATAAAATGCAATTAAACGTTACTTGCCAGGGCTGCATTTACAAATGCATAAAATAAACAAGTTTAAACAAATGTTTACAAAAACATATACAAACAAATACCACAAAACATTTTCTTAAGGATTTGTATAAAAGTGTGTAAAATGCAGCTATAAAATGACATGAAAACACAAGCCTTTCTAAAACATCCTGCAACATGATGCTTCTGTACTGACTGTTTTCAAATGATACAATACAAAGACCTAGACTCAAGACAAAAAACTCAAAATTACAGAACAAAAAAAGAGAGACAAATAAAGAATGCCCTCACAGTTAACCACATGTCCTCTCTGTCCTGCCCCCCCCCCCCCCCCAGATGAGGACCTGCTGCCCTACAGCAGTAAGGTTCTCCACCTCTCCAGGAGCCAGATGTCCAGTAACTGCTCGACCACAGGAAGCTCCTCGTCCAGAGGCTCCACGGGCTCCAGAGGGCCCCCCTCAGCCAGGAAATACACCGAGGTAACATACAGCACGACTAAACATTCTATAATTCCACTGCGGACTCATGCGGGGGAAATGTTCTCTTTTCATCTCCAGTTGTTTTAATAATTGATGCTTTAAGATATTCATGAGGACGGAACAAAGGCTGTCCCTGCCATGGAGAGGTGCATGTGGTTTAGTTTTATCTACATACCATTACGTGTGCTCCATAAAACACACATGGTATTATTGTGCAGGCGTATGAAAGAGCTTTTACATTCCCTTGTTGCCCACACACACTCACACACACTCACACACACTCACACACCAACATGCTCCCAGGCTCATAAGTCTACTCAGAGTATGCTTAACAGTCAGAAACAATGTTCAGCGTGCACGCCCACCTCCTCCCTCTGGAGTGCACTTCTGAGGCCGCGCTACGCGGGGGGAGCGCTCTATAAATGCCCCCCTGCAGGCTCCCTGGCGACGCGCTGGTGTTTTCACCGCAGAACAAGCTGTGCCAGCCGAATGGAACGCTCCATGGTTTCATGCTGCTGAGGCAACGCTTACACACAGTGACTCTCAACATTACTGTGGGGAGACGCAGGTAGCTGAGAGGGAGTTAAAGATGTGTTATCACTTTAAACCAAATGCTATGGATTTATAACCATAGAGTTAGGAACTTGCCACAAATACATCAAGGTCATCAAGGTAGACCAGGAAGTCAACTGGAGCTGCAATTGTGTTTACCACCAGCCAAACACACTCTCCTTTTTAAGCTGCAGAATGTGCCATTACTGGGCCGCCATATACTGCACACTGGCAAGAACAAGTGAGTGAACCCTTTGGAACAACCTGCATTGATGTATAAATGTGTTCTACAATATGGTCTGATCTTAACCTACGTTGCAATAATCAACAAACACAATCAGGTTTAATTTATAGCACACAAATGATTGTTTTGTTCTTGTCCATATTGAAACATTGTTCAAACATTCACAGTGTAACTTTGTATGTGAACCCCTTTCACAAAAACCTGTTGAGTTAGCAAGCGTTGTTTTAATCAGTGAAACAAGATTAGAAGTGTTGTTCCAGCTATTTTTACGTATAATAATCACTCAGATATTTTGAGTATGCTATACACAAGAAGCATCTGCTGATGTGAACCTTGCCAAGGGTTCGCATACCACTTGCCACTGATGTTGTTGGTAGAGCTGGCGGTCAGGTTAGAAACCAACCTGCAACCATTTGCCCAAGTTATCCCCTCTGTGTCCCCCTTTCAACACTATTACTTTAATAAAGGATTCACCATCCATCCCCTCACCTGCATCCACCTGTAGGATCCGGGAAACATGTATTTCATCATCTCTCCTGAATGTTCTATGCAAGACATCTGATGAAGCCGGAGCCTAAGCACCAAACTCAAACTATCCTATGGGAAATGGCTGTATTAGCATAGTGCTTTATCCAGTCTGTCCATGCCATGGAGAGCATCTCTGGAATGAATGTCTTGCCCCAGGATACATCGACTGCAGGGGCTGGGATCAAACCACAACCCTCCGAGGTAGTATACTACATCTCATGCCCTGCTGCTGTTAAGAAACAGTTAATTGTCCGACTGAACTGCTTTAGTAAGTAGTAAGTGACCCATTATAATTTAATTTGAGAGATAATTCAGTGTTCATGAGGAGCAGACTTTGCAGCTTTGATGCTGTCTGTCAGGGCTGTAACCTGAGGGGTCAGGGGTCAGCCCCCCCTCACCTCAACACACATCTGACACAGGAATGTAGCAAAGCAACTCATAAAAGTGACACACACACACGAGTGCTCATTCACTTACACTGAGCCCCCTTGTATCTCGTGCCTCTCAGGCCCCCCCACCCCCTGTGGGGTGGTAAGGAACACCTCACTCCCCTCTCTGACCCTCACTGACCCCCGCCGGCCTTTTCACGCCTTGCCGGGGACATGAAAGCTTTCCAATAAAGTTTGGGGTGTTTCTACAGGAAGTCTGAGTCAGGTTACCCCCCCATCCTGTGGGGCTGCTGACTGCTATCTCTGACCTTTGACCCTAAGAGGATAGGCAGGCAGTTGTTGCTGTTCTCGTGTTTTACATCAGCTCCACATCTGGACTCTGTGGCTTCAGATGAGACGGATCCTGGGCAACACAAGAGGACAATGTCCCCAAAGTCTGTCGTTCAGAAGTCTTCATCATGAGCATGGATCCTCTGATAATTCAAGTGTTTAAATGAGAAGACTAGAATGGGACTTAAAGAGCTCAGGACATGGTGCGTTCACAGACTCCCCGGAAGGTTCCATTGTCGCGATGGGAAGTTGTTCTTGAAACTTTGGTGTGTTCCTGTCGTTCAAACACCCCGAGAAGAGAACATTACCTCTCAACTAAATCAAACTAAACTAGCACACACAGCACTTCCTGTTTCTGTCCTCCTCTCCCTCTTCTCACAGGATATATTCCTCTCTTCTGGCTGAAATGACACTTTCCCGTTTTCTGCCTCCATAATCTTCTTTTGACTTTTTATTTATGTTGTTTGGCATATGCTTACATAAGGAAAGGATGACAGTCACTAAAGATGAAAGCATATGCATGAAACGTGCAGTCTAGATGTGTAAGTTCTGTGTGTAGCAGCTAGATCGTCTCTCCTGAAAGGGACTCTGCTACATTAATGATGAGGCAGGAGCTGCAGGCTGTTAACTGCACAACTGGATGTTCACAGCGAATGATTCAAAGTATAAAACATTTCATTGTGTGGTTTGCAGTATTCACATTTATTGAGTCATGTATATTTAATACAGCACTATATTACATGGTTCAGCATCATCAGGAAGAAAGCCAAAGTTAAAAAGTGCTTAATAGCATGCTCTTAAGTGCTGCTCTGAGAAACATGTACAAATCAATATTAGGAACAGGCCCCAGACAGAGTATAGATTGATGTCTACCTGACTACACAGCCATCTGACTCATTCTTACAAAACTGACTTGCGATATAAAACCAAGGTCAAGATGACTCTTCTGAATTCATACAAAGAGAAAGCAGCAGTGCAATAAACATTCCGTCTTATCATTTAGCAGGAGGTCAGAAATGTATTTTGGGCCTAAACCATTCAGTGCTTTATAAACCAGCAGCAGTATTTTGAAATCTATTCTTTGACACACAGGACATATTGTGCTGATGTTCAGGTTCATATCAGTATGTAATGTCTCTACTTTAAAGAGTCCTCTCCTGCTGATGTTCAGGTGTATATCAGTATGTAATGTCTCTACTTTAAAAGAGTCCTCTCCTGCTGATGTTCAGGTGTATATCAGTATGTAGTGTCTCTACTTTAAAGAGTCCTCTCCTGCTGATGTTCAGGTGTATATCAGTATGTAGTGTCTCTACTTTAAAGAGTCCTCTCCTGCTGATGTTCAGGTGTATATCAGTATGTAGTGTCTCTACTTTAAAGAGTCCTCTCCTGCTGATGTTTTAGGTGTATATCAGTATGTAATGTCTCTACTTTAAAGAGTCCTCTCCTGCTGATGTTCAGGTGTATATCAGTATGTAGTGTCTCTACTTTAAAGAGTCCTCTCCTGCTGATGTTCAGGTGTATATCAGTATGTAGTGTCTCTACTTTAAAGAGTCCTCTCCTGCTGATGTTCAGGTGTATATCAGTATGTAATGTCTCTACTTTAAAGAGTCCTCTCCTGCTGATGTTCAGGTGTATATCAGTATGTATGTCTCTACTTTAAAGAGTCCTCTCCTGCTGATGTTCAGGTGTATATCAGTATGTAGTGTCTCTACTTTAAAGAGTCCTCTCCTGCTGATGTTCAGGTGTATATCAGTATGTAGTGTTTCTACTTTAAAGAGTCCTCTCCTGCTGATGTTCAGGTGTATATCAGTATGTAGTGTCTCTACTTTAAAGAGTCCTCTCCTGCTGATGTTCAGGTGTATATCAGTATGTAGTGTCTCTACTTTAAAGAGTCCTCTCCTGCTGATGTTCAGGTGTATATCAGTATGTAGTGTCTCTACTTTAAAGAGTCCTCTCCTGCTGATGTTCAGGTGTATATCAGTATGTAATGTCTCTACTTTAAAGAGTCCTCTCCTGCTGATGTTCAGGTGTATATCAGTATGTAGTGTCTCTACTTTAAAGAGTCCTCTCCTGCTGATGTTCAGGTGTATATCAGTATGTAATGTCTCTACTTTAAAGAGTCCTCTCCTGCTGATGTTCAGGTGTATATCAGTATGTAATGTCCTCTACTTTAAAGAGTCCTCTCCTGCTGATGTTCAGGTGTATATCAGTATGTAGTGTCTCTACTTTAAAGAGTCCTCTCCTGCTGATGTTCAGGTGTATATCAGTATGTAATGTCTCTACTTTAAAGAGTCCTCTCCTGCTGATGTTCAGGTGTATATCAGTATGTAGTGTCTCTACTTTAAAGAGTCCTCTCCTGCTGATGTTCAGGTGTATATCAGTATGTAGTGTATCTACTTTAAAGAGTCCTCTCCTGCTGATGTTCAGGTGTATATCAGTATGTAGTGTCTCTACTTTAAAGAGTCCTCTCCTGCTGATGTTCATGTGTATATCAGTATGTAGTGTCTCTACTTTAAAGAGTCCTCTCCTGCTGATGTTCAGGTGTATATCAGTATGTAGTGTCTCTACTTTAAAGAGTCCTCTCCTGCTGATGTTCAGGTGTATATCAGTATGTAGTGTCTCTACTTTAAAGAGTCCTCTCCTGCTGATGTTCAGGTGTATATCAGTATGTAGTGTCTCTACTTTAAAGAGTCCTCTCCTGCTGATGTTCAGGTGGATATCAGTATGTAGTGTCTCTACTTTAAAGAGTCCTCTCCTGCTGATGTTCAGGTGTATATCAGTATGTAGTGTCTCTACTTTAAAGAGTCCTCTCCTGCTGATGTTCAGATGTATATCAGTATGTAGTGTCTCTACTTTAAAGAGTCCTCTCCTGCTGATGTTCAGGTGTATATCAGTATGTAGTGTCTCTACTTTAAAGAGTCCTCTCCTGCTGATGTTCAGGTGGATATCAGTATGTAGTGTCTCTACTTTAAAGAGTCCTCTCCTGCTGATGTTCAGGTGTATATCAGTATGTAGTGTCTCTACTTTAAAGAGTCCTCTCCTGCTGATGTTCAGGTGTATATCAGTATGTAGTGTCTCTACTTTAAAGAGTCCTCTCCTGCTGATGTTCAGGTGTATATCAGTATGTAGTGTCTCTACTTTAAAGAGTCCTCTCCTGCTGATGTTCAGGTGTATATCAGTATGTAGTGTCTCTACTTTAAAGAGTCCTCTCCTGCTGATGTTCAGGTGTATATCAGTATGTAGTGTCTCTACTTTAAAGAGTCCTCTCCTGCTGATGTTCAGGTGTATATCAGTATGTAGTGTCTCTACTTTAAAGAGTCCTCTCCTGCTGATGTTCAGGTGTATATCAGTATGTAGTGTCTCTACTTTAAAGAGTCCTCTCCTGCTGATGTTCAGGTGTATATCAGTATGTAGTGTCTCTACTTTAAAGAGTCCTCTCCTGCTGATGTTCAGGTGTATATCAGTATGTAGTGTCTCTACTTTAAAGAGTCCTCTCCTGCTGATGTTCAGGTGTATATCAGTATGTAGTGTCTCTAAATGTCTCCATGCTTTAATGTTCAAACAGCTCTTTATTGTTCTCATACTGCCTGTGCTGCAGCACCTCTTTTCACCCTCTGTCTGAAACCAGAGCCCAGTCTGCTATGATTGGTTAGCTGGCCGGCTCTGTTGTGATTGGTCAACCGCTTAGAGATGACCCGCCCTATCACGTATCTTGTAGCCTATCACGTCAAAATGTGTTTGTTAGCCAATAGAAGCACAAGTGTTACATAGTGATGTCATTATGTTACAGAAGTAAACCAAGGAGTCGAATGGAGGCGTCTTTGCAGACCATTGCACTGAAACCTATAGAACACTATAAGGAAGGGAAAACCACAAAAAGCAGAACAGGGCCTTTTTTTCAGTCCAGTACACGATTACAGAAACTGAAATATGTGATATAATGTTGATATATCCCTTTTTTCTCCCCAGGAGATGAGATAAGGACCCAGGGAGTGTCGGTGTACCTTCGATGCCCCCCCCCCCTCTCCCTGAAGACAGCGAGGACAGCTTAGTGTTTCAGGATCCAGACTCTGCGTCCCTGTGTGAAAGAAAGCTACCATTTTTGGCATTACATTGAATATTTATGAGCAATTGAGTTCTTTCCTCTCCCTTCATTTGTAAATACCTGTCTGTACTGTTTGGGCTCTGGATGCAGGGAAAGAGACGTATATTGTATTTATGAGGATGAAAAAACATGTAAAAAGTCTGTTATTATAAATAAGCTCATGTCTTCTTGAATGTGCCAACCTTTTTGTCAAAATGTATACCTTTGGGAAAAGCATAAGCTACTGTTGCACTCTCTTGTTGTGATGGCAAAACAACAGAACATATGAAGCACAAAGTGTGTTTGCTGTAGAGGGGCGATTGGAAAAACCAAAAGGAGCGGGGCCAGCTTCCGGAGGCCGGGACCCCCGCACCCATGTGTCCGCTAAGAATGTCAAACTTTTCTATGTTTCCTTTGGTTTCTTCTGCTGCAGAGCGACCGGCAGACACAAGCTTTATAAAAGTTTGATTGTACCCCCCCCGCTCCTCACCTTGTGCGTCTGAGGGACTGTTTGCTGCAGTTGTGAGAAAACATTTGCATATAATCCGTCGAAAACAAACAGAAACATTTCTCTGGACTGACTTTTTGTACTATTGTTGTTTTGTAAATGTACAATAAAAAATAATGCTGATCTCATTCCTGAAGCCGCTCTCAGAGATAATGCTTTTTAAGACGAGGTGTATGTGTTTATCTGTCGTCTGTTTCCGCCATTACTTTCTTTTATCTGGCATGGTTGCCATGACAACATTAGATCAAGCACAACACTAGAGACACATGAGTGGTTTGGCATTTCATACTAGAAGTCATTTTGACTTCCTCCACACCTCATGCTACATCAAATATAGTACCAGGAGGGAAATGGATGAAAACACATTCAATAGGCTCACATTGGAACACCTTATTATTGAAATCAGCACCCATACCATTGTTGGTAGCTGGTGCTCTTCTGTCTATAAACATGAGACGCAGCTAATGAAATTCAAATGCACACGATTTCAAGGCTGCAGTTATTCTGCAATAAAATACATTCAAAGTTCAGTTAAAGATGAAGTGAATATTCCCTTGTAATAAAATGATATTGTTATGTTTCCTCCATGAGCTGCAGTGTTCAATGCCTATTCATCACATGTGAGAAGTTGACCAGGTGTCCTACATTGTGTGGGACTGCACAACATTTTCATCATTTGTTAATGCATTTGTCCTGCGTCCCACAAATGATGATGACCTGCATTTGATTGACAGTTGAACTTTTTTAAAACGTGTTTTTTTATCCAATGGCTGTTTAGAAAGCAAGAGGGGGCTATCCGGTGTAAGATGTCAATCAATCAACAAAGTATGAACTCGTGGGTGTAGCGGGCGGAGGGCGATGCCCAGAGATTATTGTGACATTTGTCAGAGGTTTTTCCTATGGTGCATACAATTTGAATCAACACTACTGTACGAGACTCACAGGAAATGCCTCGCAAGACAAATGTTGAGCTATATATAAATGATCCTCTTTTTTCTTTTATATATTTATTTGACAGGGACAGTGCACATTGATTGACATTTCTGTAAATGCGCCAGAGTTAGCCAACAGGCTATGTTTCGTCTGCAGTCCCTGGACAGATGCTAAAAGTCATCCTAAAAACTAAAATTCACTTCAAATAACAGGTAAATACAATCAGTAAAACAACATTCAACAGAGATACTTATATTATGATAAAAGCATATATAAAAACATAAAAACAAAACTAAAATACATATTCACAAAGCAGACAGATAGCAACAGGTATGCACATGTGTACAAACAGCGTTGTAAAGTACAGATTGTGTCAGTGTTGACTTTCCACTAACCATGTTTTTAATGATTGAAATAAACTGCAGGTGTTTTGTTCTCTAATCGTTACTGGGCTTGAGTTCCACTGTTGTGCAGCTTTAAAAGAAAAAGAAGATTGGCTGAATGAGCTCTTCCTTAATGGAACAACGCAGTCTCAGCTCTCGTTGACCTGTTACAGGTGTGCGTATGGTGATAAAATGTCTGAGTGGAGGTGAGGTAAGGCTGTGTATTATTTTGTACATGAGGCAAGCATTTACATATCTCATTACATGCATTACATCCTGAACCAAAAGAGATGAGCAAACAGATCATACATGTTAGCAGTCTACTAACTAGCTCATGTCCTTTCTTCAGACTCAGAGATTACATAAAATATAATTTGGATGATTGTTTTTTGAATAAAAAATATATACCTTTTATAGTCCTTTACTTGCATAGTTTGAGCGAACAGATCAACCTATAGTGTTATTATTCATATTTATAAGATAATAGTTGCAATAGAAATGTTTTTTTTATGAGTTGGATGGACATTATATTGAAATCCAAACTATATCTTTATCAAAGTAACACATTGTCCTGCACAGACACACTGTTTGTCCTTCATGTGGCTTGTAAATGTAATGTATGTCATTCATATACACACAGGTGCATTGACACTGGCTGGTGAGCAGACCTGAGCATTATTAACTGTCTTCCGACCGCTAAAGGGCATACATGCCTTGATGTCACATGAGAGTCACAGAGGTGTCAGAAAGTTCACATATACACCAAGAGTGCAGGTGTGAGTATGTAGGGCATGCATACATCCCCGGCGTTACTCTAAGGGCATTTGAACAATCTTGTAGGAGATGTACATCTGAGATTGGCCTTGATATGCAGTAAGTCATCAAATCAAGGCTTAAAACTTCCCCAAACTCCTGAAGAAAATCTGAAACACTCAGCATCTAAACTTCTTAAAGCCTTCAACTCCCTGAACATACTTTCCAGTCAGACTTTAATAAATATAAATATCTGCTTCATAGCTGATTGTGTTTGCTCCCTAATCTCCCAATGCCCCATTCTTCCTCTTCACAGTGCGCTGCAGCTGACTGAGTGCTGAGCAGCCGAGGAGCATGAAATTGCCAAGACACACCCCCCCCCGCTGCCCACCTTAGACAGGGCATCCCCCTCTGCTGCTGGCAGTGTGTGTCACTGACTCTCACACACACAGCCTCATCTTCATGAACAGCTCAGGGTGTGTGTCCCTCTCTGTGATCAGCTGAAAGCAGCAGGAAGATGCTGCAGCACACAGATGGAGGCAGTGGAGTATACATACATATATATCTGAATACATATACAAACACATGCATGTTTCTGTTATATGGAGAGATGTCAGAGCAAACCGGCTGCCAGTTTGTCCAGCGCAGTTCCTGCTTCCAGTCCACTCTCAATAGTCAAGATCTGGACTTGAACCGGCGGCCCTTCGGTTCCCAAGGTCAACAAGGTGGATTGTGAATCAAACACTTTCACACTCCATGTCAACATTCATCCACTGGTACACTGATGGCAGGGCTCTGCAGGATCAATGCTAACAGGATATTCTTCTGTATATCAGTTATTCACAGGACCCCTGACAGATCCATTCCATTCATGTATTGCACGGAAAGAGTTCTAATATACTGCATGAATGACTTAGCAGTTCATTACACTGAAGCCACATTTCAAATGGGATGGAATAAAAATTGATTATCAGGCAGTTGTTTGATGCTGCAATAATATCAAGAGGGCAAAAACATTTTTTCTTTATTTTAGAGTTTTTCAGAGGCAAAATATGTTAAAATATATTAAATAATCTCCTTTATTTGTCATATAAACGCCAAACTCCCTTAGTGCCCTCATAATTGATTACAGATATTATAATGCATATTACAGGTGACCTTTCATGAGCCTGTCCAAACAAAGAGAGAGCGAAGAGCAGAAGACAAGACGATGAGAAGATCTACGTGACTGACCTTCTACAGTGTGACCCAACAACCCCCTACCCTTTCCAGGGTTCATTTTTCAATGCCACATATATCTGACATTCTAATTGTAATCACACACAATATGAACAACATATTCCATATGCACAGACATAACAAATATAGTCTTTGGGTGAACAGGTCATCTTGAGTATTTTCTTCATGCTAACACGTTAGCATGTAGACTGGCATTACGGCACCAGTGTTATTATAGTAAACAGACCTTTTTAGTTTGTTCATCATATAATCATTACCTCCATATCTCTCTTGAAATAATTTGAGAAGTGTCACATTACCCAGCTCCAAAGAGAAGTAGTCCCACGAAAAACAAACCAACAAAACATTTAAGGAGCCATTTGAAAAAATGCAACGTCACAGAGCTGACGTCGACTGTTTGTCATCTTGGGCAGACACGTGTTTCATTTCACAGGAGAGATGAAAATGCTAAATGAACAGGGACTTATGATGTGTGTGACTGACAGGGCCATATTGAAACAGATCACCCTTATGGGTCCCATTGATTTCCTGTTAATTGAATGATTAGCACTTGAGCATGCACCAGCACAGTTAACCACAGCTGTCAATCAGTGAGCGTGTCACCTGAGCCCTGGGGGGTATACTACGAAGCAGGATTTTTGCTTAGCGGCTAACTTCAGGGAAAACTCTGGGTTTCCGGTCCTACGACGCTGGTTCTCTTTTTAGCAGGCTAGATCTCCATGGTAACTTATGCTGAGCGGCTAACCTGGTCGGGACCAGGGGCCTGTACTACGAAGCTGGTTCAACCTAACCTGGATATTACTAACTGGATGGAGTTAGCCGGTTGGCCTAATCCAAAACATACGTGCTCTCCAGTGCTTGAATTGGAATGAAAAAGGTGCCAGTACTCTAAAATCAGCAACTTTTTCAAGTCAATTTTATATATACTGCCCACAAACAAGAATTTGGCTACTATAATGCTGGTGGGTTTGTCTCTTTACTACTGTATATTTTAGAAAGGTTCACTGTACTTAACATTTTGTATGATAGGCAGCGGATATGGCTAAACAGTAAGGTCAATATTAACTGAAAATATAGCAATCAAAGTCTAGATCTTCTGCTGAAGACACATGAAGCAGAGACCTTTCAGGTGAGAGCCCCTCTGGTGGTGTTCAACATTAATGACAAGGAAACAAAGCTCTGGTCAGAAGCATTTTTTATAAAAAGCTTTAACAAAATTAAGTATTTCTGTACATTTTGAATGCAATCTAACTTTCCAACTCAGAAAACGAAAAACGAAAAAGTGCCAAAAGTCTTCTCACATGGCTGAGCTGCTTTGCAATATACTTCACCACTGAAGAATACAAATATGTATAAAGTAAACTATGATGCAATCTAACTTTCCAACTCAGAAAAATGATAAAGAGCATGAACAAAGAACATGTAAAAACAAATGCAACATTTGCACAATCTAAAATGAGAAACTGTAACTGCAAGTAACAAAGTCTGAGCCATGGTAAAGAGTTACATTGAACACCAAGCTGATCAGATAACTCCCTGGTTGGTCTGAAGTCCTTCTATCTCCAGGATCTGTACAAATCGGCACATTATGCCAAAAGTCTTCTCACTGGGTGAGCTGCTTTGCAATATACTTCACATTGTTAGAAAAGGCTCCAGAAGGCCTTGGGGACATCAGTATCAGGGGCTGGAGCTGGACAGGCTCTTTCATCAGCACTTCTCCTTCCCTTTGCCAGCCAGGACCTCACATACTGTTCCGGATTGAACTGTCCTAGTGATGGTCCATTACATTTAATGAAAACCAGGCTGGACAGTCGGCTGACAGAGAGAG